TAGTTTACTCACTATACAGGGGGTTATAGTTTACTCACTATACAGGGGTTATAGTTTACTCACTATACAGGGGGTTACAGTTTACTCACTATACAGGGGGTTATAGTTTACTCACTATACAGGGGGTTATAGTTTACTCACTATACAGGGGGTTACAGTTTACTCGCTATACAGGGGGTTACAGTTTACTCGCTATACAGGGGGTTACAGTTTACTCACTATACAGGGGGTTATAGTTTACTCACTATACAGGGGGTTACAGTTTACTCACTATACAGGGGGTTATAGTTTACTCACTATACAGGGGGTTATAGTTTACTCACTATACAGGGGGTTACAGTTTACTCGCTATACAGGGGGTTATATTTTACTCACTATACAGGGGGTTATAGTTTACTCACTATACAGGGGGTTATAGTTTACTCACTATACAGGGGGTTATAGTTTACTCACTATACAGGGGGTTATAGTTTACTCACTATACAGGGGGTTATAGTTTACTCACTATACAGGGGGTTACAATTTACTCACTATACAGGGGGTTATAGTTTACTCTCTATACAGGGGGTTATAGTTTACTCACTATACAGGGGGTTATAGTTTACTCACTATACAGGGGGTTATAGTTTACTCACTATACAGGGGGCAACAGTTTACTCACTATACAGGGGGTTATAGTTTACTCACTATACAGGGGGTTATAGTTTACTCACTATACAGGGGGTTATAGTTTACTCACTATACAGGGGGTTATAGTTTACTCACTATACAGGGGGTTATAGTTTACTCACTATACAGAGGGTTATAGTTTACTCACTATACAGGGGGTTATAGTTTACTCACTATACAGGGGGTTATAGTTTACTCACTATACAGGGGGTTATAGTTTACTCACTATACAGGGGTTATAGTTTACTCACTATACAGGGGTTATAGTTTACTCACTATACAGGGGGTTATAGTTTACTCACTATACACTATACAGGGGGTTATAGTTTACTCACTATACAGGGGGTTATAGTTTACTCACTATACAGGGGTTACAGTTTACTCACTATACAGGGGGTTATAGTTTACTCACTATACAGGGGGTTATAGTTTACTCACTATACAGGGGGTTATAGTTTACTCACTATACAGGGGGTTACAGTTTACTCACTATACAGGGGGTTATAGTTTGCTCACTATACAGGGGGTTATAATTTACTCACTATACACTATACAGGGGGTTATAGTTTACTCACTATACAGGGGGTTATAGTTTACTCACTATACAGGGGTTACAGTTTACTCACTATACAGGGGGTTATAGTTTACTCACTATACAGGGGGTTATAGTTTACTCACTATACAGGGGGTTATAGTTTACTCACTATACAGGGGGTTACAGTTTACTCACTATACAGGGGGTTATAGTTTACTCACTATACAGGGGGTTATAGTTTACTCACTATACAGGGGGTTATAATTTACTCACTATACACTATACAGGGGATTATAGTTTACTCACTATACAGGGGGTTATAGTTTACTCACTATACAGGGGGTTATAGTTTACTCACTATACAGGGGTTACAGTTTACTCACTATACAGGGGGTTATAGTTTACTCACTATACAGGGGGTTATAGTTTACTCACTATACAGGGGGTTACAGTTTACTCGCTATACAGGGGGTTATATTTTACTCACTATACAGGGGGTTATAGTTTACTCACTATACAGGGGGTTATAGTTTACTCACTATACAGGGGGTTATAGTTTACTCACTATACAGGGGGTTATAGTTTACTCACTATACAGGGGGTTAAAGTTTACTCACTATACAGGGGGTTACAGTTTACTCACTATACAGGGGGTTATAGTTTACTCTCTATACAGGGGGTTATAGTTTACTCACTATACAGGGGGTTATAGTTTACTCACTATACAGGGGGTTATAGTTTACTCACTATACAGGGGGCAACAGTTTACTCACTATACAGGGGGTTATAGTTTACTCACTATACAGGGGGTTATAGTTTACTCACTATACAGGGGGTTATAGTTTACTCACTATACAGGGGGTTATAGTTTACTCACTATACAGGGGGTTATAGTTTACTCACTATACAGAGGGTTATAGTTTACTCACTATACAGGGGGTTATAGTTTACTCACTATACAGGGGGTTATAGTTTACTCACTATACAGGGGGTTATAGTTTACTCACTATACAGGGGGTTATAGTTTACTCACTATACAGGGGGTTATAGTTTACTCACTATACAGGGGGTTATAGTTTACTCACTATACAGGGGGTTATATTTTACTCACTATACAGGGGGTTATAATTTACTCACTATACACTATACAGGGGGTTATAGTTTACTCACTATACAGGGGGTTATAGTTTACTCACTATACAGGGGGTTATAGTTTACTCACTATACAGGGGTTACAGTTTACTCACTATACAGGGGGGTTATAGTTTACTCACTATACAGGGGGTTATAGTTTACTCACTATACAGGGGGTTACAGTTTACTCACTATACAGGGGGTTATAGTTTACTCTCTATACAGGGGGTTATAGTTTACTCACTATACAGGGGGTTATAGTTTACTCACTATACAGGGGGTTACAGTTTACTCGCTATAAAGGGGGTTACAGTTTACTCGCTATACAGGGGGTTACAGTTTACTCACTATACAGGGGGTTATAGTTTACTCACTATACAGGGGGTTATAATTTACTCACTATACAGGGGGTTATAGTTTACTCACTATACAGGGGGTTATAGTTTACTCACTATACAGGGGGTTACAGTTTACTCACTATACAGGGGGTTACAGTTTACTCACTATACAGGGGGCAACAGTTTACTCACTATACAGGGGGTTATAGTTTACTCACTATACAGGGGGTTATAGTTTACTCACTATACAGGGGGTTATAGTTTACTCACTATACAGGGGGTTATAGTTTACTCACTATACAGGGGGTTATAGTTTACTCACTATACAGGGGGTTATAGTTTACTCACTATACAGAGGGTTATAGTTTACTCACTATACAGGGGGTTATAGTTTACTCACTATACAGGGGGTTATAGTTTACTCACTATACAGGGGGTTTTAGTTTACTCACTATACAGGGGGTTATAGTTTACTCACTATACAGGGGGTTATAGTTTACTCACTATACAGGGGGTTATAGTTTACTCACTATACAGGGGGTTATAGTTTACTCACTATACAGGGGGTTATAGTTTACTCACTATACAGGGGGTTATAGTTTATTCACTATACAGGGGGTTATAGTTTACTCACTATACAGGGGGTTATAGTTTACTCACTATACAGGGGGTTATAGTTTACTCACTATACACTATACAGGGGGTTATAGTTTACTCACTAAACAGGGGGTTATAGTTTACTCACTATACAGGGGGTTATAGTTTACTCACTATACAGGGGGTTATAGTTTACTCACTATACAGGGGGTTATAGTTTACTCACTAAACAGGGGGTTATAGTTTACTCACTATACAGGGGGTTATAGTTTACTCACTATACACTATACAGGGGGTTATAGTTTACTCACTATACAGGGGGTTATAGTTTACTCACTATACAGGGGGTTATAGTTTACTCACTATACAGGGGGTTATAGTTTACTCACTATACAGGGGGTTATAGTTTACTCACTATACAGTGGGTTATAGTTTACTCACTATACAGGGGGTTATAGTTTACTCATTATACAGGGGGTTATAGTTTACTCACTATACAGGGGGTTATAGTTTACTCACTATACACTATACAGGGGGTTATAGTTTACTCACTATACATTTTTGCTGAAAGTCGCGTTAAAGTTAATGCCGTGGTTTCAGTAAAATGGTACGGATCCATCCATATATAATATCGTCTTACTTTATATATAGTAAGATTCTGTGTCCCCCCGCCCCCCCCTTCTGTGTCCCCCGCCCCCCTCCCCCCTTTGTGCCCCTCCCCCCTCTGTGTCCCTCCCTCTGTGTCCCCCCGCCCCCCCTCCTCTGTGTCCCCCCCTCTGGGTTCCCCCTCTGGGTTCCCCCTCTGTGCCCCCCCTCTGTGTCCCCCCCCCTCTGTGTCCCCCTCTGTTCCCCCCTCTGTGTCCCCCCCTCCCCCCTCTGTGACCCCCTCTGTGTCCTCCGCCTCTGTGTCCCCCCCTCCCCCCTCTGTGACCCCCTCTGTGTCCCCCCCTCCCCCCTCTGTGTCCCCCCTCTCTGTGTCCCCCCGGCCCCCCCGGCCCTCCCCCCTCTGTGTCCCCCCCCCCCTTTGTGTCCCCCCCATCTGTGTCCCCCCCACCTCTGTGTCCCCCGCCCCCCCCCCTCTGTGTCCCCCCGGCCCCCCCCCTCTGTGTCCCCCCCTCTGTGTCCCCCCCTCTGTGTCCCCCGCCCCCCCTCTGTGTCCCCCCTCCCCCCTCTGTGTCCTCCCGGCCCCCCCTCTGTGCCCCCGCCCCCCTCCCCCCTTTGTGCCCCTCCCCCCTCTGTGTCCCTCCCTCTGTGTCCCCCCCGCCCCCCCTCCTCTGTGTCCCCCCCTCTGGGTTCCCCCTCTGGGTTCCCCCTCTGTGCCCCCCCTCTGTGTCCCCCCCCCCTCTGTGTCCCCCTCTGTGTCCCCCCTCCCCCCTCTGTGTCCCCCCTCTCTGTGTCCCCCCGGCCCCCCCCCCCCCGGCCCTCCCCCCCCCTCTGTGTCCCCCCCCCCTTTGTGTCCCCCCCATCTGTGTCCCCCCCACCTCTGTGTCCCCCGCCCCCCCCCCCCTCTGTGTCCCCCCGGCCCCCCCCCCCTCTGTGTCCCCCCCTCTGTGTCCCCCCCCCCTCTGTGTTCCCCCTGTGTCCCCCCCCCCTCTGTGTTCCCCCCTCTGTGTTCCCCCCTGTGTCCCCCCCCCCTCTGTGTTCCCCCCTGTGTCCCCCCCTCTGTGTTCCCCCCTCTGTGTTCCCCCCTGTGTCCCCCCTCACTACTACTACCATTATTACTAAACCTGTTCTAATAAGCTTTGTTTCTCAGAGATGTTATCTTCATAAGAAGAGATTACACGTCCGTTCTCTTCAAGCTGGGATTCCAGGGATTCTATCTCCGACGCGTTTAGTTCTAGTGTTCCATTCAACAATGATACCTGTTTTAGAAATTAAGTTACACAAACTAAACAAGGTTACCCTGATTATAGATAGCTAACTTGATTAATATTGATTATAGATAGCTAACTTGATTAATAGTGATTATAGATAGCTACCTAAGTTTTCCAAACTATATTACAAATTTAGCAAGACAATATTGTGAGTAGAAAGAGAGAAACGACAGCAGCAGTGGCGCCCCCCTAACGACAGCAGCAGTGGCGCCCCCTAACGACAGCAGTTAAACCATTTGCAAAAAAAGGAAGTGATTATAATATCAACTGCTTGAGTATGTACTGTAATACAACTGTACTAAACTTGTGGTTATAATTGAATAATATAAAGTCTTACATGTATCTTATAACTGATACTGAGTACATGAATCATAATGATCCAGTGATAGCGCCCAGTGATAGCGCCCAGTGATGGCGCCCGCCGCCCAGTTACAGCGTGAGTAAATACCCTCTCAGCCCCCTCACCTGATCTTGTAAAGATGTTAGTTGAGATTGCAGCGAGTCCTCCTCCTCCTCCTTCCCCCTCTTCTTTTCTTCCTCCTCCTCCTTCCTCTTCTTTTCTTCCTTCTCCTTCTCATTCTTGTTTTCTAACTTCTCTTGTAGATTTTCTTTTTCTTCCATCAAATATTTTATCTCCTCATCTTTCTTAATCTTTTCTGCCATCAATGATTCTATTTCTTCTTCTTTGCTTTTCATCGTCTCTTTTGCAAGGCCAAGTTGATCTGTATTTCCTTTTAACGCACTTTCTAGCACTCTCTCCTGAAAGATATTTGGTTGATAGAAAGGGTGCCAAACACATTTATTTTGGCAGATGAGTCATCGGCTTACCTCTATGACCTTATAAATTAACTCCTCAATACAAGTTGATTAACTAATCAAAACTAATCAATTATCATATTATGATCAATTCAATAATAATCAATTTAATAATTGTAAATCTCATTTCGTCAACTACAATTAAAAATAAAATCTGGACAACGTAAGAAAATCTCAAATTCTCTACGTTTGATTTCAGATTTTTAAGACTTGAGGGACATTGCTCTTGATAAAGTTAAATGGAAGTCATTCGAGAAAATTTAGCTATATCTTTTGAGGATCTTTTATTTTTGAGAGAGCTATGCTGTTTATCAGATATTTTGAACTTTGATAATATGGTTTATAATAATAACCTGGACAATAGTGACCTCTGGCTCGGGTAGCATACTGCCAACCTCACCAACATCCATCACTTCAACTAGGGGCAGTGCAGCATCTTCTGGTGAATATACCCATTATCAGCGTGAATATCAGGGAATACTTAAAACTTTATCAAACAAAATCCATAAAAAATAAAATACATCCATACTCTGTACAGTATGGAACTAGAAGATAAATTAAAACATAACTGATAAAAAGTAAATACGGTTCCTACCACTGTTTTCCCCATTGTTCTCTTTTTCCCTGTAATTCTCAAGAGCTTCTTCTTGTTTCATCAGTATTCTCCCGTACCTTTCCATCTCGAAATTTTCTGAGAAGTTTGTTCTATCAAGAAGAAGATCTTTAATGGTCAGCATCAGTTAGATCCCCCTCCCCCTCAGTTAGATCCCCCTCCCCCTCAATTAGATCCCCCTCCCCCTCAGTTAGATCCCCCTCCCCCTCAGTTAGATCCCCCTCCCCCTCAGTAAGATCCCCCTCCCCCTCAGTTAGATCCCCCTCAGTTAGATCCCCCTCCCCCTCAGTTAGATCCCCCTCCCCCTCAGTTAGATCCCCCTCCCCCTCAGTTAGATCCCCCTCCCCTCAGTTAGATCCCCCTCCCCCTCAGTTAGATCCCCTCCCCCTCAGTTAGATCCCCCTCCCCCTCAGTTAGATCCCCCTTCCCCCTCAGTTAGATCCCCCTCCCCCTCAGTTAGATCCCCCTCCCCTCAGTTAGATCCCCCTCCCCTCAGTTAGATCCCCCTCCCCCTCAGTTAGATCCCCCTCCCCTCAGTTAGATCCCCCTCCCCCTCAGTTAGATCCCCTCCCCCTCAGTTAGATCCCCTCCCCCTCAGTTAGATCACCCTCCCCCTCAGTTAGATCCCCCTCCCCCTCAGTTAGATCCCCCTCCCCTCAGTTAGATCCCCCTCCCCCTCAGTTAGATCCCCTCCCCCTCAGTTAGATCCCCCTCCCCCTCAGTTAGATCCCCTCCCCCTCAGTTAGATCCCCCTCCCCCTCAGTTAGATCCCCCTCCCCCTCAGTTAGATCCCCCTCAGTTAGATCCCCCTCCCCCTCAGTTAGATCCCCCTCCCCCTCAGTTAGATCCCCCTCCCCCTCAGTTAGATCCCCCTTCCCCCCCAGTTAGATCCCCCTCCCCCTCAGTTAGATCCCCCTCCCCCTCAGTTAGATCCCCCTCCCCCTCAATTAGATCCCCCTCCCCCTCAGTTAGATAGTCCATCACACAAACTTTATGAACATTACATCGTGTATACTCCTCCCTGCTACTGAAGTAGTAAATAAAGCACTAAACCTTTCCCTGCCATATATAGCCATGAAAGTGAAAGTGAAACTTACGATTGTCCAGTTCCTCCTGTAGTCGCCACACCTCTTCCTGCAGCTCCAACACGTTGTTGCTCTCCGAGTCAAGGATCTCGTCATTCAGCGAGTCTTCTAACTCTGTATCAATTGTCGCTGAAATAATGTTAAAATCACCTGCTTGGGTATGCTGTGTGTACCGTGTCTTGTTATTCAAGGAGAATATTTGTGAGATATCTCAAATATTCAACTTATGTTCACGAGAGAGACACATAGATTTTAATAATTTTATAAAGCTCATTTCAGTAATTTAGCTTGAAAATGAAAGTGAAAGTGAAAGTGAAAGTTAAAGTGAAAGTGACAGTGAAAGTTAAAGTGAAAGTGAAAGTCTAATCGAAACTAACGAGCGAGGGAAGGATCAGCCTCTTTAGTAAACATAGGTACTGCCACAGACATCCTCTGTCTCATTTGGTGTCTCTTATCCACAGCAAGAGAATCGCCCGTTTGATCCTGAGAAATTAATGTTACAATAAAGTGAAACTGGAACTGAAAGTGAAACCTTCAAGGGTATAATAGGGGAAGCGAACGAATATTTCCTTGCGTATCACACTCCCCAAGTTTTCAAGTTAGATACGAGTGGTAGTCATTAATACATACAATAATAGGTTATTCAATATATGTTTAGCGAATACCATATATAATAATAATAATAATTAAATATAATGATAATAATTAAACCTGTAGTTTTTGTTGAGCCTTTTTAAGTCTTTTAGCTGCGTTCCTCGCGTTCTTCTCTTCCTTCTCAAGCTTCATCTTACACGCACTAAACTTAGCATGGAGCTCGTCCATCTGATCTCTTAACCTCTATATTTATAATAAATAGATTAATTATTTGAATATAAGTGTTTAACTAAACTATAGCTAGGAGCATATGAAATGATGAGCTTGTAAACCGCCCATATGGTTAGCAACTGACACAAGTGTCAGGTACTAACCATGCCAGAGCTAAACAGTAATAACAGAAACTAGCAGCAGCTTCATTTGTTACTGTTAGAATATAAATCGAGAATGTGTTACTTGCGAGGAATAATCGTTACATTCGTTACAACCCTTACGAAGCAGATAAGGTACCTTGTTTTCCTCGGATGTCTCCTCCCGGTATCTTTTTAGCTCGTCAATGTTCTCCTGTTCTTCACAGTGCTGCCTCTGTTTCTCCTCCATTGCCTGGTCAGTACAGAATAGTAACCATAGCAACCATAGTAACCAAAGTAACCAAAGTGACCATAGTAACTATAGTAACCATGGTAACCATAGTAAGGTAGTTTAAAAGATAACACGTGTGTTTACCCCGTGTAGTTTAAAAGATAACACGTGTATTTACCCTGTGTAGTTTAAAAATAAAAGATAACACGTGTATTTACCCTGTGTAGTTTAAAAGATAACACGTGTGTTTACCCTGTGTAGTTTAAAAGATAACACGTGTATTTACCCTGTGTAGTTTAAAAGATAACACGTGTATTTACCCTGTGTAGTTTAAAAGATAACACGTGTATTTACCCTGTGTAGTTTAAAAGATAACACGTGTATTTACCCTGTGTAGTTTAAAAGATAACACGTGTATTTACCCTGTGTAGTTTAAAAGATAACACGTGTATTTACCCTGTGTAGTTTAAAAGATAACACGTGTATTTACCCTGTGTAGTTTAAAAGATAACACGTGTATTTACCCTGTGTAGTTTAAAAGATAACACGTGTATTTACCCTGTGTAGTTTAAAAGATAACACGTGTATTTACCCTGTGTAGTTTAAAAGATAACACGTGTATTTACCCTGTGTAGTTTAAAAGATAACACGTGTATTTACCCTGTGTAGTTTAAAAGATAACACGTGTATTTACCCTGTGTAGTTTAAAAGATAACACGTGTATTTACCCTGTGTAGTTTAAAAGATAACACGTGTATTTACCCTGTGTAGTTTAAAAGATAACACGTGTATTTACCCTGTGTAGTTTAAAAGATAACACGTGTATTTTACCCTGTGTAGTTTAAAAGATAACACGTGTATTTACCCTGTGTAGTTTAAAAGATAACACGTGTATTTACCCTGTGTAGTTTAAAAGATAACACGTGTATTTACCCTGTGTAGTTTAAAAGATAACACGTGTATTTACCCTGTGTAGTTTAAAAGATAACACGTGTATTTACCCTGTGTAGTTAAAAGATAACACGTGTATTTACCCCGTGTAGTTTAAAAGATAACACGTGTATTTACCCTGTGTAGTTTAAAAGATAACACGTGTATTTACCCTGTGTAGTTTAAAAGATAACACGTGTATTTACCCTGTGTAGTTTAAAAGATAACACGTGTATTTACCCCGTGTAGTTTAAAAGATAACACGTGTGTTTACCCTGTGTAGTTTAAAAGATAACACGTGTATTTACCCTGTGTAGTTTAAAAGATAACACGTGTATTTACCCTGTGTAGTTTAAAAGATAACACGTGTATTTACCCTGTGTAGTTTAAAAGATAACACGTGTATTTACCCTGTGTAGTTTAAAAGATAACACGTGTATTTACCCTGTGTAGTTTAAAAGATAACACGTGTATTTACCCTGTGTAGTTTAAAAGATAACACGTGTATTTACCCTGTGTAGTTTAAAAGATAACACGTGTATTTACCCTGTGTAGTTTAAAAGATAACACGTGTATTTACCCTGTGTAGTTTAAAAGATAACACGTGTATTTACCCTGTGTAGTTTAAAAGATAACACGTGTATTTACCCTGTGTAGTTTAAAAGATAACACGTGTATTTACCCTGTGTAGTTTAAAAGATAACACGTGTATTTACCCTGTGTAGTTTAAAAGATAACACGTGTATTTACCCTGTGTAGTTTAAAAGATAACACGTGTATTTACCCTGTGTAGTTTAAAAGATAACACGTGTATTTACCCTGTGTAGTTTAAAAGATAACACGTGTATTTACCCTGTGTAGTTTAAAAGATAACACGTGTATTTACCCTGTGTAGTTTAAAAGATAACACGTGTATTTACCCTGTGTAGTTTAAAAGATAACACGTGTATTTACCCTGTGTAGTTTAAAAGATAACACGTGTATTTACCCTGTGTAGTTTAAAAGATAACACGTGTATTTACCCTGTGTAGTTTAAAAGATAACACGTGTATTTACCCTGTGTAGTTTAAAAGATAACACGTGTATTTACCCTGTGTAGTTTAAAAGATAACACGTGTATTTACCCTGTGTAGTTTAAAAGATAACACGTGTATTTACCCTGTGTAGTTTAAAAGATAACACGTGTATTTACCCTGTGTAGTTTAAAAGATAACACGTGTATTTACCCTGTGTAGTTTAAAAGATAACACGTGTATTTACCCTGTGTAGTTTAAAAGATAACACGTGTATTTACCCTGTGTAGTTTAAAAGATAACACGTGTATTTACCCTGTGTAGTTTAAAAGATAACACGTGTATTTACCCTGTGTAGTTTAAAAGATAACACGTGTATTTACCCTGTGTAGTTTAAAAGATAACACGTGTATTTACCCTGTGTAGTTTAAAAGATAACACGTGTATTTACCCTGTGTAGTTTAAAAGATAACACGTGTATTTACCCTGTGTAGTTTAAAAGATAACACGTGTATTTACCCTGTGTAGTTTAAAAGATAACACGTGTATTTACCCTGTGTAGTTTAAAAGATAACACGTGTATTTACCCTGTGTAGTTTAAAAGATAACACGTGTATTTACCCTGTGTAGTTTAAAAGATAACACGTGTATTTACCCTGTGTAGTTTAAAAGATAACACGTGTATTTACCCTGTGTAGTTTAAAAGATAACACGTGTATTTACCCTGTGTAGTTTAAAAGATAACACGTGTATTTACCCTGTGTAGTTTAAAAGATAACACGTGTATTTACCCTGTGTAGTTTAAAAGATAACACGTGTATTTACCCTGTGTAGTTTAAAAGATAACACGTGTATTTACCCTGTGTAGTTTAAAAGATAACACGTGTATTTACCCTGTGTAGTTTAAAAGATAACACGTGTATTTACCCTGTGTAGTTTAAAAGATAACACGTGTATTTACCCTGTGTAGTTTAAAAGATAACACGTGTATTTACCCTGTGTAGTTTAAAAGATAACACGTGTATTTACCCTGTGTAGTTTAAAAGATAACACGTGTATTTACCCTGTGTAGTTTAAAAGATAACACGTGTATTTACCCTGTGTAGTTTAAAAGATAACACGTGTATTTACCCTGTGTAGTTTAAAAGATAACACGTGTATTTACCCTGTGTAGTTTAAAAGATAACACGTGTATTTACCCTGTGTAGTTTAAAAGATAACACGTGTATTTACCCTGTGTAGTTTAAAAGATAACACGTGTATTTACCCTGTGTAGTTTAAAAGATAACACGTGTATTTACCCTGTGTAGTTTAAAAGATAACACGTGTATTTACCCTGTGTAGTTTAAAAGATAACACGTGTATTTACCCTGTGTAGTTTAAAAGATAACACGTGTATTTACCCTGTGTAGTTTAAAAGATAACACGTGTATTTACCCCGTGTAGTTTAAAAGATAACACGTGTATTTACCCTGTGTAGTTTAAAAGATAACACGTGTATTTACCCCGTGTAGTTTAAAAGATAACACGTGTATTTACCCTGTGTAGTTTAAAAGATAACACGTGTATTTACCCTGTGTAGTTTTAAAAGATAACACGTGTATTTACCCTGTGTAGTTTAAAAGATAACACGTGTATTTACCCTGTGTAGTTTAAAAGATAACACGTGTATTTACCCTGTGTAGTTTAAAAGATAACACGTGTATTTACCCTGTGTAGTTTAAAAGATAACACGTGTATTTACCCTGTGTAGTTTAAAAGATAACACGTGTATTTACCCTGTGTAGTTTAAAAGATAACACGTGTATTTACCCTGTGTAGTTTAAAAGATAACACGTGTATTTACCCTGTGTAGTTTAAAAGATAACACGTGTATTTACCCTGTGTAGTTTAAAAGATAACACGTGTATTTACCCTGTGTAGTTTAAAAGATAACACGTGTATTTACCCTGTGTAGTTTAAAAGATAACACGTGTATTTACCCTGTGTAGTTTAAAAGATAACACGTGTATTTACCCTGTGTAGTTTAAAAGATAACACGTGTATTTACCCTGTGTAGTTTAAAAGATAACACGTGTATTTACCCCGTGTAGTTTAAAAGATAACACGTGTATTTACCCCGTGTAGTTTAAAAGATAACACGTGTATTTACCCTGTGTAGTTTAAAAGATAACACGTGTATTTACCCTGTGTAGTTTAAAAGATAACACGTGTTTTTACCCTGTGTAGTTTAAAAGATAACACGTGTATTTACCCTGTGTAGTTTAAAAGATAACACGTGTATTTACCCTGTGTAGTTTAAAAGATAACACGTGTATTTACCCTGTGTAGTTTAAAAGATAACACGTGTATTTACCCTGTGTAGTTTAAAAGATAACACGTGTATTTACCCTGTGTAGTTTAAAAGATAACACGTGTATTACACCACGTGTCATGACGTCACACCACGTGTCATGACGTCACACCACGTGTATTTACCCTGTGTAGTTTCTGGTATTCCTCCACCACCATCTTGTAAGCGTCCTGTAACTCGTCATACTTTATCAACTCGTTCTGTGCCTCGTGTAGATACTTCTTTGTGAGTCTTATATCCTGACAGAGTGAAAGTGAGTCTTATATCCTGACAGAGTGAAAGTGAAACTCACTTAGGAACTGTCATATAATACTTAATCTTAGAGAGAGAGAGAGACTTAGTCAACCTGAATACCACACTATAAACTATTGTCTTGAACTAGCATGACATTTTGTTTAAGCTAACCAAGTCTTATAACTCTTAATTGTACTAGCAGAAACCCGTCTAATTGCATTTTTTGTTTATTGATTAATTTGTTCACCCAACATTTTTTGTGAAACTCGTTTTCGAGATAGTAGGGCATGTGACTGACCTTTTGAGTTGGGGGGGGGGGTCCCGGACCCCAACCACCCACGGTGCAACCATTACCATATTCGGTAAATTTTTTGCCCAATTATGCCATATCACCTCAAAACCCAAATTTTTTCCTTTTCACCCTTTTGAAAAAAGGCAATAGTGAAAGGTTACGAATGGACGTTTTTGCAGAAAAACGTGGATTTTGGAGATAGCGGTAGGTGGGTCAAATATATGTCGTGTTCCGTTCTTGCTTCCGTTCGTTACCATGTCAACTTGCCGCGCGCACGCGCACGGGGATTGCTTGCGGAGATGTGGTGTATAGCTAGTCTGTGGTCAATGAATGCGCAGCACGAGAGTATTTTAATGTATACTAGTAATGTATAGTATTTTGTAATAAGCCCAACTTGAATGTGGCACGCGTAGTCTACTGATGTTTCAATATTATTATTATAAGGTGAGCTGATTAGAGCTTATATTAATAGTTATAGTGAAATGGAAATCTAGCGTCCGCCAAAACGAAACAACGGGCGCAATTCTTGTTGGTACTCTACTTATAATTATAGCTAGTGGTCTCCTGAACAAAAATTGGCTGAGTTATGAGCAAAAAACCATATATGCCCATATTTGGTGGCTAGATGGGTCCTGTACGTTTATAACGAGGGTCAGCTTGTGAGTTTGTTGTTGTGTACCTCATTCTGCTCGTTCATCATCTTCTTCAAGTTCGCTTCCTCATTCTTCAAATTCTTTATTTCCTTATCAGTCCTCTTAATAATACCATCCGTCTGGTTGTTTAGTTTCTCTACCTTAAGTTCGCTCTCTTTTTCAAGCTGCAGGCTCGCTTGTCGGAATGCCTCCTTCTGTACCCTGGTCGAAATTTTAATTAAATCAGTTCTTATTCAAACAGTTTAGTACTTATAAAACGGGAAATTTTCAGAAAATTTAAATTTACAAACTTTAAAAAATAAAATTTTTGGCCAGGTAGCGCAGTTGGTTAGAACGCCAGCTTTGCAATCGTGAGGTTGCGGGTTCAAATTCCACTGTCTGCCTGATCGTGGGGTGAGCGTCGTTGACGTTCAGCTAAGGATCAAGAGTGGTCTATGCAGCCTCCCGGTCTACTCAGCCGAATACTCGAGAAATCGGGTGTGAGGGTTAAATGAGGAGCTGCACATTGCAGCAAAGTCTCGGGCGAAGAAAGTATGGTACACACTACCTTAACCGTCACTGGCTAAAAACAAATCCTTCGGCTTCCTGTAATTGGCTGGTTGCACTTGTGTAACAATGTGGCTGTTGGAATACTCCGAAGTAAAATAAGTGTCTTGATTTTAAAAAACCTGAGTTTCTCATCGCTCTTCTTGTGCTCCAGATCTAGCCCTATCTCATACTCGTGCAGGTTCTTCTCTAACTCCTCTGTTCTGCGTTCCAGTGCAACACTCAGAGCGTCCATATCGTACTGAACTTGAGCTAGGTTCGACCTGAGTGTGGGTAAAATGAGAGTGTTCAGGAGTTTGTGAGATAGGATCTTATTTTAAACATTTCTTGAATGGATATCGTTCTATAGTTGTATCATTTAGTTTAACTAAACTTACTGTAAAGTGGTGATGACAGATTTGAAAGCAGCAATAGCTGACTCCCGCAGAGTATCGCTCTCCACCTCGTTAGAAGTGAGTATCGCCTCCACGTTGTAGCACAGTATTTGTGGTATTATCTGGTTCTCACCACGCGACATACTGTCTACTCGCTGAGGAGGAGGATATAATACCCCTCTCTCAATTGTAATTCAAATAACAACAAACCACGCAGTATGAGTACTGAGTTACCCTACTGTTACCATAGTAACACTCCTAGTTACCCTACTGTTACCATAGTAACACTCCTAGTTACCCTACTGTTACCATAGTAACACTCCTAGTTACCCTACAGTTGCCATAGTTACACTCCTAGTTACCCTACAGTTGCCATAGTAACACTCCTAGTTACCCTACAGTTACCATAGTAACACTCCTAGTTACCATACTGTTACCTAGTTACCCTACTACTGGAGTACACTTACCTTGAGGAACTCTATGATAGATCTGTCAGTGGAGTCTTTAAGTCCCTTCTCCTCCCACACCTCCAGGACTCGCTCTATAGTTACACTTTCATCAGTCAGCTCCGGGAACAGGGGGGCAATGTTGTGGGCTGAAAATAGAAAATACAGTAGAGTATACACACTGGAAATAGAAAATAACAGTTAAATTAGGCACACTACCTAGTAACAGTTAAATGAGGCACACTACCTAGTAACAGTTAAATGAGGCACACTACCTAGTAACAGTTAAATGAGGCACACTACCTAGTAACAGTTAAATGAGGCACACTACCTAGTAATAGTTAAATGAGGCAACACCTAGAAAAAAAAATGAGGCAAAAACTTCCTTAACAGTTAAGAGGCACACTACCTTAACATTTTAAAAAAACACTACCTATAACATTTTAAATGAGGCCCTACCTAATTAACTATCGTAAAGTTACGGGGTGGTTGTAAGGTTCACTGGTTTCTTCTGATAATTTCCAAGTTCAATTTTTTGAAGATCTTCACACCAGTAGTCGGGTTTTCTTAACACTTTGGTTTTTTCTTTTTAACTAAGGATGGTCCATCTTTACTGTGGTGAGGATTGACACGTGTTGGCAGGGCACTCCCATCTTTCATTGTTTCTTTCATACCCTTTATGCTGAATAGTTAGTAACTTAGACTTCCTTCATCATGTTTTTCAATAGATCTGCTGTTTCCATGCTATACACTGTGCCTTCTGTGATTCCCAAACATACCACCCTTTCTGTACAGACTTTTTAAACCGAACGATTTGAAACATGATGATATTATATTATATATATTATATATATATATCCATTCAAATCAAATCAATTCAATTGATTAAGATAAACAGAAACATCATCATACGTTCATCAAGAATATTTCTATAATATATTATAGTAATAAATATATAAATTGAAACTAAAATGCCAAGTACCCAGTAACAAATGCAATTAAGTATGCTCCACATTAATAAAACAATCTATAAAACGTACTTAGCAACATAGGAATTGAACTTAATCTTTAAGATATTCATAAACATTTTCTTTTTATCATTAACATAATTTATCCCTTTCACTTCTTGCTAGAATACTTTTTTCTAAAGTATCCAAAAACAGCAATAATTTATATAGCAATGAATAGGCAGTAGTTTGGTCAAATCAAACATAACATGTTATGCTATCAGACTTTCAACCTGACTAAGGTAGGGTTAAAACATAATCGACGCTAGCAACAATCCCCTTTTATATTTAACATAGTTCAACTAAAAATAATAAATTTAAAAGGTTAAATTAGTCATAGTGATAGTTAAATAGAGTAATATGGCAATCAAAATTGTTAATGAAAACGTAGAGATAAAGTATACTGAAACTAAGAAAACGTAGTCGCTTAAACGTCATGAATCGTCATGTCAAACATAATATATATATACAAGAAAGTCCGTGGTCACACAGAGGAAGCTTTATAGTATCTTTGGTAGTCTGTTTATATTAGCATCAACAATATCCCATCGCAAACAACCGAAAATACAAGCCAATTAAAATATAGCTAACTGAACACCAACGTAATCATCTTATGAGTTCCTCAGAAATGTGTTGTTTGTTGGTTACAATTCTGTCCGTCAAATTTCCGATCTGCTTGTCCTATCATTTACCGTTGTGACGGAATTGTAATGTACAAAATCCATATAATTATTTATGATATGTTTTTGATTTATTGTTATTGATTGTCATTCAAATTTGGTAGATAGACGGCGCCTTATCGTTAATGGTGGCACGTAACTATGTGTTTGGTTCAGCCGAATTAATTATTATGTTTAATCAAGTTTATTTTTCTCGATAGTGTCATCCGCCAAACATTAAGCACTTATTATATTGGCAGTACCATTTATCAATTTGTATATCAATATAGGTCATTGTAATTTTATTGCATGCTGAAAGAAAACGCTTGATTGTATATATATAATGATTAATTGAATTATTCAAATAAAATTAAAAAAATAACAAAATAGCCATCAAAATGCCCCTCACAAATCCTTGCAACGTGCATGCCGGCGTTTCAACACATTACCATGGGTTTACCATGTACTAATCCTATTTCTCAACTAATTTGCACGTGGTGTGGGTCGTACATATTACACAAATATTTCTTTGAATTTATAGTAAGATGTCAGCAAATCAATATCTTTCTTAAATCCTTCAATTTAACATTAAACTAAAAACTGTCTCAGAGTTCCTATCCCTCTACATTTTGGCTTGCGAAACATTCGTATAAACTCCAGATATATGGTTTAAACGAAGCAAAATCAATACATTGTATAAAACAAGTTATAATGACAATTATGAACCAAAAAAGGTCCGGCCTTGATACTGAATCCTTCACTGTTGGAGGAAATTGAAAAATACAGTTTGGTGTATTAATTAAAAATTCAAGAACAACTTACACGATTTTTTAATGTCTCTTCTATTCAGCGCCGATTCAGCGCGAATCATCAGAAACGTGATTATGATTGAAAGACTTGTTAAACTAAGTCATTCATTTCCCAGCTCAAATCATAAATAATCGAATAACATTTCGAAAACTAAAAGGTCCTGTTTATTCTCTCGATGAAATTACGGCGGATTGCAGTAGCAGTAGTAATATAGTGGAATATAGGAATTAAAGCACGTCAATTTTAAAATTATATTGTAATTAAATCAAACAATTATTTTATTACTGTTTCAAATAAAACCTAATAAGTTTTCACATCGTAATCCCTCAATTTCAGATAACAGAACTATTTATATTCGTGTGGCATTAGTATGGGAAGACTATTCAAAATTCTAAAAGACTGTAGGTCTTATAACATGACAAATTTCAACCGTGCTGTCAAAAAACATACTTAACCATATCAAGAGCCGTTTTATATCTATTGTGTTTACCAACATTGTATGGGATCGCATCTAACTTTGACAGCTTTAAACGATAATGAGTCAATATGATGAGAAATTTGCAGTATTGCGCTAGCTGAAACAAACATTGCTGATGAAAAATAAAGATTTTATTACAAATTGATGGTTACAGCAGTGAGTATAACTCCAAACTGAATGGGAAAAAGAAATGTCGTGGCCTTGGGTGTATATATTGGACAATAAGAACCAATACAAAGCCGAATCGAAAAGTTATGTAAATGCTCCTGACAATCTTGAAACACTTTTCGTTGAGATCACTAACACAGAGGTCCCACTAGATTGTGCTGGTGTTGTCTAACAGGCCCCCGTAGTGTGATAATTCTAATGAGCACTTGCTGAGCTTGACGTGTTATGAAATTCCAACCGTCTAATAATTGTAAGCCTTGACAAGGTGACTTCAATGGTTGACCTTTTGGCCCAGGGACGAACCTAGCTGAATTTGTAACAAAACTATCTACAGTAACAATTTTAATCCCTTTGATAGCGATGCCACCCATGCCAAGCCGGGTTGCAACGAAAGCTTAATTGATAATATTTTAGTGAACTCCTACTGAGCGTGTCATTTCCTAGGAAGTGAGGGGTAGTGTAACTAGGTAGTGTAACTAGGGTTAACCTCTGGTTAAGGAAAAAATATCATAGGGAATAAATTTATTACGGAAAATTTCATCACACAGGTTTCAAATAGGATAAATTTCACTCGATTTCTGGAATATATGGCATAATAATATTTTTGTGGCCCAAGCATAATGATTTAATGATTACTCGGTGCTCAAATTCAGCCACTTCAAAAAAGGTTCCTTAGTAGCATCCTGATAAACTCATGTTAAGCGCTGAGCTGAATGGTATTAAGCGATAATGGTTATGCACGCAAAACAAAATCGCGATGGCCACGTGTGTCACTCTCCACTCTCAAATGCAACTATACTTCCAATCTAAATAATTGATTTACAAGGTAAATGCCAATTGTACTGGTACATTGTACAACTAATTACTACATTGTAGGGAAATTTGATCTTGCGTGGTGTAACCACGGCGAAATTCTACGAAATGAGGGTTAGACAAAAATGGAGAAGCTACCAATAAAATTACATTTTCGGGGAGCTTTGTCCTTGTTTGTGGGTAGGGAAGTTAATTGTAATTACATGGTTACATTACATGGTTACATGGTTGTTGGTTATTTAATTTTAATGCTTTTTGCTTTTTTGATAGATTACTGGGGTGAGTCTTTCATTTGGTTATTACTAAGTCTTAGTAATCAAATTACTGAGGTTTTTCTTTCATTACTTCAGATCTGATGGTAAAATAATATTAGAGGGCCCCCTATTATCAGAGGTGATCAGATCATGTATAATTAGTTATGTCATCAGTAGAATTTAATTGACCTAGAAATGGGCTAGATATATAATAGGGTAGAGATATAGAGATTATTACTATATATATATAAAGCGAGACGATATATATTATATATAGGTATGTCTGTTGCCATTTTACTGACACCACGGCATCAGCTTTAACACGACTTTCCACAAAAGCCGTGAGAGATAAACAATTGAAACTTTTTTGGGTGGGTCGAATGCTTTTATAATGGCCTTTTTATCAGTATGAAGAAATTTGCCAAGGAATAAGAACTTTAAGTCCCAAAATGTTGACCCCAAGTGGTGCCAAAATCGCGAAATAAATAACTATTGCACATGCAGTCTCTTTAGAGTTAGACGGGTTCCTACTAGTATTTGTAATGTTTCGACATCAGAATTACTTATAATACCCAGCTCTAGATTAAGCTGTAAAATTAATTATAACTAAATTAATAAAGTAGATTAATTATAACTAAATTAATTATAACTAAATTAATTAATTAGATTAATGAATTAAAATTCTCACTGCTGATCCGACTCTTAGTCTTGTTAGGAGGTGTAACAGTAGCGGGAGCAGTGAATCCGGGAAATGTAGTGCTCTTTCTACTGGACACTGTCTTTTGCCCTGAAGCGGAAATAACAAATAGAAACACAGCATTCCGAGACAAGGTGGTGCTAGGAAACAGTGAAAAAACGTTTAGGGAATTGATTAATTAAATATATTATGTACGGGTATATGCCTCCCATAATGTATACTGTTTTTCCGGCCTCTCTCATGCTCACCATGATTGATTTATAATCAAGAAGACTGTGTTGATACCTTATTTAAACTCTTCATTATTCTTCCCGGGGGTTTACAAAATTGTAGAATGACATTTTTACCAATTTTCAGTTCGTACAAAATCTATTTTCCCTATGCCTCCCAGAATGTAGCTTTTCAGGGTGGCATCTCAATAGTTTTTCCAACAACGGTACATCGAGTTTATTAAAAATCAAAAATTGTATCAGAGAATATTTTGCGACGAATGTCAACCATGCCTCCCAAAATGCATATCAGCACAAAAAATGTATTTAAAGTGTCCACTAAGACAGTACTGTGCTGCTGATTCATTTTTTGTTATAAAAATTTCAACATATATGGACGTAAGTCAACCCATGCAAAAGGTTCATATTGCTTCTTATACCATATCATCAGATTGAGTACCAGGTGACTTGTACCAGGTGAGTTGCATAGAGGTTGGACACATCTTATCCATCGTAGAAAACCGGGGTTCCAAGGTCCGAAATAAAAAATGGATGTTTCCAAAAAATCCCCGTAGATTCTCAAATGTTTCCATTTTTTACAAAATCTTTTTAAGTCATTTCGGACCTTGTAAACCCGATTTTCTGCAACGGATCAGATGTGTCCAACCTCTATGCAACTCACCCAGTACCAAAATATGTCAAAATGAGAATTCCAGATACCAGCATTTTGGGAGGCATGTGATTAGCATTATGGGAGGCAAGTATGATTCGTGTTAAATTATAAGTCTCCCTGCTTTCAGAATAATGCAATTACAATTATCATACATCTAAACTATTGAATAGCCAACTTTGATTATTGGGAGAGGATACGAGTGCCTATATTGAAAGACATTATTGCAAGACCGCTTAAAATAAAGTTTGGGTTTGAATTGTGCGCATATGTAATGAATTAAAATTTGTAAACCTTTCGGGAAGAACGTAATGAACACTTTCAAGTAATCTGAAGTGATAATCAGAAGCAATAAGTACTTGATACATAAATCAGAAGAAAAAAAGTAAACATATACATTCTGGGAGGCGCTGTTTTATGGGAGTCATATACCCGTAAGCCAGATTTTGTCCAAATAAAGGTTGTGGTACACAAGGAAAATGGTTATTAAAGTGGAGAGCTGCAACTTGTCAGTACACATTTTAGGTATAAATCGGGCCAACTTGTATACTTGGTCGGTTTGCATTTGTCACTGCAAAGTTCAAGTGAATCGAATGATTGAAAAGTGAATGCAGTTGTAATTTAAAAAAAGGAAAAACGGTCCTTCTAATACTTTATTTAGATTCGTAAAAACATTCAAACTTGTGATATAAAATTAATAGCAAAGTAAGATTATATTTGTAATATTTGTTTTATTCTGAAAGTAAGACGTTCAAGAATTGTAGTGGCAAAATAAGGACTCTGATTTCTTCCATGATAGATAGAAAACTATGAAGTTCATCAGATCAAAACTATATCTGAGCGCGGCTTGTTTTCTTTTGTACAAAGTTCACAATTTGTTTACAAAGAATCAAAAGTTTTATGTATCATAAACAAACATGTTATACATTGACAATTAAAGATGACGTGTTAACAAGATAATATACTGAAAATGAATGAAATAGATGCAGCCGAAGTGCAGTGGCCTAATGTACATGTCCTAAGAAAAGTCAGGCCTTCTTTCTACAGCTTTTTCCGGGATAATTGTCATTACACCACTGGCTGAATATAAGAAATAAAACAATATACGTACACAAACACGGTGCTTTTGAAGGTTTATAGGGAGGTTCTCTCGTATTCAATAACACACTTTTAGTCGTGATAAGCTTCAGATCAGGAGATAAGAGCCCTGCAATTGGGATACAATTGAAAGAAAGAAACTGAGCCCTCCAGTTCAAGTAAACTTGGATACATTTCAATGAAACAATAAGTTTTTCAATGAAACGTTAGGTTTTATTTTACATTCCTTTAATCGTAACCGTTTCTATAAAATTATCTTTAAAAATTCCACTTCGAAACTTAGGCAATGCTGAGTGGTAGGAATGAGGGACTGAAACGCTTGGGGTTAACAACGGCACATTTACAAACCACTTCGGGCATGACAATGATATATTATTTAAGGTTTGTCTAAAACTGTATCGTACCAGGAACACCTTATTTGGAAAATTTCTGGAGTTGGGTGTTTTACTGTGAGGGGAAGAGTTACTGGGGCTTATTATAGAAATCTGATCTGAACAGTGAAAAACATTTAACACAGGATGTAAAGCCTACCTGCAGTACTTTTTCTCAAATTCAGCAGAGAGTTATTGTTTTTTGAATTCGGTGGCATCCCCACAAAAAACTCATGATACTCCCCGAATATCTGGCGGGCTATCTGAGCGTCGATCTTCAAACTAGCAAATGACACAGATGGTGCAGCGCTGAAGCATTGCTAAACATGAAACATTTCAGTTTGAACTGGAGTTTTTTACAGCTTTATGCCTCCTCAATCGATAAACAATTGTTTTTAACTAAACTTATGTGCCAACGAAGTAATTAATCAACAATCGGACTTTTCAAAAAAAGCTACAATCTGCAAATTCATGTTCTTAGAAACTTATCTTAAGGATCTTACCATTATGCATTAAATAATATGCAAAAATTATTCAATACAGTGAAACCCTGATTAAAGGGTAAATCAGGGTTTTGATTGTTCACATTAAAAATGAAAAGCACAGTAAGGGGAAAGAAAATTGCTGCAGTAAACCGGAGTTAGCAGTTATCAGAAATAGAAATAAAATATTTCCTGAACAGTGCTAGCTAAAACACCTTTCAGCAAACTCTAACTTCCAAAATGTGGCATTTATCCAGTAACTTTATTATCAGTATAAAATTATAGGACAAATTTTAGTAGTTCATGATTTATTCCATCAGTTCTAAATCAAATATTTGATGGGGATCTTTGTTAAGTCTTAAATACTCATGCAAATCAATTTGTTTGTTTACCATCATGTAAACCAGTAGCCTCTAAGCTTATTATACATTTTATACATCATTTTCATTTCGAATCTTTGAAATAGCCCAAGAAGAAGATATATTTGTGAGTAGTAGAACATTAGTGCTTTTTAAAAGTTACAATTATAAACATGCTTAAAATTAAAAAATAAAATGCTGCACTGTTGAACTGTATCCTTACACATTTCTCTCGATTTTCCCAACAAAGTTTACATCATTCTCTGGCACCATATCGACAAACTGTTATAATTTATTTTTAGAGCGGCTTAAGAAATGAAGTTCTATGAATAGTAGCTAGCTGCAGCTACCTGGTAAAACACTGAGTCAGTAAAACAAAGTTGTCAGTAAAATAAATATATCACTTTTATGCAAATTTTATACAATAATATTATCTTTACAAATCAATTTAGGATAATTTTTGAAAACCAGTTGCAGTCATACTGCATTTTACTGCCATTCTTGGGGAAGGTCAATTTAAGACGATTTTACTGATCATAATCAAAAATCCTCTTTTTATTTAGAGTTCCCAGTATATCAGAGATTTACTGTTTTGTTTTGAATATTATGAGCTACTCCACAAATTAAACAATGTTTGCTATTTCTTCATAATAGTCTAATAAATAACACAAAAATACCCCGGGCACACATTAAAGGTTCTGTTTATAGTTGTTACTATGGGTTGCAGTCTTGTTGTGACAGAAATTCTACACTATAATAATATGCTTAAATTTATATTGCGTGATTTGATTTGCATAATTCAAAAAGTTTAGGACAGTATACTCTATTCTCCATTCAAAATTATTATTTATAAGTACGCTTGTCCTTTAACTGTAATTGCATATCTGATAAAATTGAAAAATGGACATTTAACATCTTAACTAGGAGAAAGATGTTAAAAAATGAAATTGCGCTCAGCCTGTCATTCCGCTGAATCTCTATGTTTATGAACATTATTATGTTACAGCCTGGGGTCCCCAGGTAAAGTCCTCCTGCGATGGAGACCGACTCACAAAGACTATGCCATATGCTGGATTCCGAAAAGGGAGACTCTCTGCACAAAAAGTTTACGAAAACCTAGAAAGTGTACTAACTTCAAACAAGTGAGGGATCGTTCACAGATTACGCTATCGCTGATATGAGGGGATCAGGGAGGGGTTTGTTTAATGATTACACTAGTGTAATTTCAAAACAATAGTTATATTATGTATTCAACTAATTATTAATCCCAAAACTGAACTAATCAATTCCAAAACTGTACTTTAATAAAACAAAATGTTTAATATAAAACAAAATTTTATTTTATACCCACAATCAATTTATATTTAGTTAAAATATTTTTAGTCAAAATAACCATTTCACAAAAGTGGTTTATTATAACAAAACCATTTGTAACAAGTGTATAAATTAATAAACGTTAATTTAATTTGATGTAAAACAAACTCTTTTGATTAACATGCATCAGCCGCGCGCCGAAACGGTGTTGCAAATTGTAAAAATTGTGTCTTTATTTGTCAAATGTTGAGTGTAAATTAATTTGTTTCACAAGTAGGATCTAGGTTTATTTATCATACTTGTGAAACTTGAAGTGAATTCCTTGAAGCTATCAAAAATAGCGATGTTTATAATATACAAGTATATGATTTATCAAACATGTCAATCTTACAAATGTCAACAATCCTAAAATAATTTAGAACCGAAACGTGATCCTTTTTAAAATTATATATCCTGTCATCACTCCTGGAGTAATGGATATTATATGTTTATTTCAATAAATATGAAAATCAATAAATTAGAATAGAATCTAGTCTTCTTTTCAGCTCACTCTTCTGAAACCTCTTTCTCTACATTCTCAACCTTATCATCAACTTCCTCATCTTCATCCTCAACATCATCACCCCTGTCTTCATCGCTGGTGGTGTGTGCGAGATTTAGGTCCAGTTCGTCAACAGGTATTGCTTTCTCATAATACCGTCTTCTGTGTCCTCTCACTGCAATCAAAACTGTTTTAAGTAGCTCAAATCGCAAACGACGTCTAAGATTTGCCATGATGAGGCTTTTGTCCTGACTGGTCTTGGCTGCCAGAAGTGTTGCCACTCGTTTAAGGAACATGGTAGCCTGTGGGCCCATACCTCCGGTTGTCGAGAATATAAGGCCATTGCAGGTTCCTTTTTCGATCTGTACACAGCGGTCTCCATATTTCCTTTCTTTCTCTCTCTCATGCTTCTTGTACATCTTTGCTGGGGTGTTGTGGTTAGTGTTGGATTTGGCTCCGGGGTGTAAAACCCTGATATCGAAAAATGCCATCTCCATTGGTGACCACAGACCTCTAGCTGCAATGTCAAGCCTTGCCCCATCATCCAGAATGGTACCAGGGCGAAGGCTTCTCCAGTGCATGGCTGGAGTGTGGGCTCTACAACAACCTCATTACAGATTTTTTCAAGAATGCTTGCAATGGTGTCTCTCAGTCGGTTGTGTCTGCTGTTGACAAAGCCTCCTTTCTTGCAAATGAGAATGTGGTTGTAGGTGTTATCTTTGCCACAAAAGCACAAATGCATTTCTTGGCTATGTTGGCAATGGGTAGAGCGTATCTCAGTGCTATAGCGTCTTTGAACCCTTGCTTGTTCAAGACAAATCCGTACTTCTCATAAGGTAGTCCGGTCAGCCAGCTTGATGCACCTTTTTCACATGCATGTGGGATCTTCTCACTGATCGAAGGTGGTAGATCGTTCATCAGCTGGTTTTTGAGAGATTCATGTCTCTTTGCATTTGACAGGCTAATGGCACTCTTGACCGCTTTCCCAGCCTCTCTGTTGGTATTGAGAGTGGTGTGTTGCTTCAGAATGTGTTCTGTAAGCTGCTGGTTAGCCATGAGTGAGTTCTTGTACTCAGCATCAGCAATTTCTACTGGATTGATTATAGCTAGTCCACCTAACTTGGCTGGGAGGGAGAACAGACTTCGCTCAAGGTCAGACCGAATTGTGTGTCCTGTCATGTTGGGAATGAGCAAATTCCTGATCTTGTCCTCAATGGGCTGCAAGTTCACTGCTATGTCAGGGGTGGTCCTCATCAGGAAAGACCATCTGCGGGAGGAGCCGTAAACAAAAGCGGCGTAAGCAAGGTGTGGCTCATGCTGTGCAATTGATGCCAATCCCTGGATCTCTTCTATCCATTCAACACATTTGGCTTGGATAAAATTGTTCTTTCCAGACTCTGTGCCAATAAAGGAACCCAGGTATCGACAACCTTCGCTGGTGATGTTAAGGTCGGGGAAGAGAGACTTGGCTTCCTCTTGGTACTCCTCTTTAACAATAAGCCAGGTCTTGGACGGTTTGGGAAAATAGCCGTAAACAGGGCCAGATGCCTGTAGGGAATCCCACCAAATCTTCAGGGCTTTAAGCCTTCCTGCTGCTCCAGAATCATCTGCAAACCATATGTGTTTAGCAGCTTTGTTGGTGGGCTTATTAACCTCTGGGGTCCTATCTGGAGTTGTATCTGGTGGTGTCTTAATATCATTGTGCTCCTCAGGAGGCTTCTGGGGTGGTTTTGTGTTCTCAAAGACCACAGGAGATATATCTGGTGGCTCTGTGGGGAGTTTGTCCAGAAGGGGCATCAGGCTACAGGAGTAAAATGCAGAAGCACAGTTGTCCCCCTGAGTAGTACCTTCTTGGGATAAAATAAACAAACCATTGGAGTTTGGTATGTACAGTTTTGCTGCTTTTCTGTAGGTATTAACAAGATATTTATACAGCTCGGGACACATCACACTTGTGTTATGGAGGGCAACTCTCCGGTTTAAACGGTTGAAGGCATTATCTGCATCAACAAGACGGATACCATGAGTGTCTTCATCTTCATACATGGTTCTAAGAGCATGAATAGCAGCTTCTACTCCACCTTCTAGGCCTGCTGACGCTTGAAGTGGTGCAGTGGCTGCTAGGATCTCTGGTTTGAGCAGGGTAGTAACTGACTTGCCGATTATTCGGCGAAGGACTTCACCAATCCCTATAGGTCTAATGCCAGGTTTCTTGTCCAAAGGAATAAGGCGGCAAGATATGAACGTTGCTAGGGGATCAGGGTCAACTAATTCAGTGCATAGTTTCCTGGTTAGTAGGGCAACTGATTCACATAGTTCAGCACCACATGTCTTGAATGACTTAGAGCAAAGGATACGTTGCCAACCATCGGAATCTAGGCCAGAGGGGCCAGCTGATCCATTGGTGTTCTTTGCTGCCTTCTGGATTGCTTCAATATCTATGTTCTCGAATATAACGTTGTCTACTTTTTCCAAGCCAACCTTGCTGAGTAGACTGCTTACAAGGAAAGATTCTTCAGGCTGTTTACTCTCTAGCAACTTGATAGTTTCTGGTGTTGATTCTAGGAGGCCCCCAGCTTTATTTGTCACCCATCTGAGTGCTGCTGACACCTTTCCTTGAAGCATAAGCTTGGAGAATACTTTGTGGGTATGTTGGGGAGTAAACTTGCTTGATGTTAAACGCTTCTGAATAGCTTTACCTTCTTTGATGAGGCCCTTGATGTCGCCTTTCTCCCAAAGTTTGAGGCGATCTTCAAGATATCTGACGTGGTCTTTTGTTTTGGATCGTTTGGAAGGTTTTTGGAGGAGCAGGGCTGGCATAACCATAAGTGCAGTCATGGCCACATTTTGAAGGGGGGAGTTGTTAACATAATAATTGATGACTTTAGAGGTCGCTTTCACATAAGCTTTACCTTGAACACCAGAAGGAAAAATTATATGTCCCAATAGTCAAATTGACTTGTACTCAAGTATAAAGTTAAACAATTTACTCCAATAACCACGGTCACTAGCAAGTTCTCTCAAATGGAGAATATCATCATACGACTCCAGCAAGATGAAACGCTTCCAGAGGTCAACCTTCAGGTGGTGTAGGAGGTTACGTCTGTGAGCCCCGAGTCTACCAACTTCACTACACATCTCGACAGCAAAACACAGCGCAGCTTGAGCTGGTGATCTTTCATTGCTCCTCAGTATGTGTCCTAGCATCTTCCACCTAGATAACTCAGCACGCTATATGATTTTACTACTCTTTATACCAGATTAGACTTGATTGAAGTAGAGAATATGATTTAATATTTTCAGACCGTAATAGATACAGGGTGGCCCATAAGTGACTACCCACACGCAACCTCTTAATAACTCACGTAATTCGTCTCCAAATTGCACCAAAATTTCAGAGATTATAGATATGGGTCAAACTTAGATTTCCTGAAAGTTT